GAGGCTAATGTTGGGCTATAAAGGAACTACAGCACGGTCACATGACTTCACGTCACCACCGCTAAGCTAAAAGAGGCTAATGTTGGGCTATAAAGGAACTACAGCACGGTCACATGACTTCACGTCACCACCGCTAAGCTAAAAGAGGCTAATGTTGGGCTATAAAGGAACTACAGCACGGTCACATGACTTCACGTCACCACCTCTAAGCTAAAAGAGGCTAATGTTGGGCTATAAAGGAACTACAGCACGGTCACATGACTTCACGTCACCACCGCTAAGCTAAAGGCGGCTAATGTTGGTTGTGATGACGTTTAGTCGTCTCATTTAGACACTTGTTAGCAACAGCCCTTTCTAAATTCACCAGTGGGGTATTAACTGATGTATTTTATGTTGTAGAACCAAATGTTTAATCTCCTCAGCTTGTGTTAACCTCAGATCTTATTTCAACACCCCAAAACACATTCAGAAAACCATTGACTTCTTTATTATGGGTTTTCTGATGGGCATGATACTGTGTGTGACTTTGCACTGTGTGACCTCGCAGCTGCCTCTTCGTAGATAGGAGAAGGCAGGACATAATTCATGTTGTTGATACCAACGAGAGCACACACACTTTGTCTCCTCTTCTCTTTGAGGGGCAAAGAGCAACACTGCCTTTCCAGAGATGTCCCGACGCCTGCCCGACACCAAACCGATTTACGACACTGTTTGGTCCCTCCTGACTTTAGACTATATAAGCTTGATGTTACTTCCTGCTCCTTTGAGCAGCATACCTCATGTGTGAGTTGAACCATATCCTTTGTAACTCTGCCCCTTCTTGCAAGAATAAATGAGTACCTGACTATTGATTCTCAACCCGGTGTCGAGTGATATTCTCCTAACTACTTCCAGATCCGACAATCAACACAGACAGATAATAATACAATCATGATTTACTTACAGGTACCACGTATGCTTCTGGATCTGCTCTAACTGTAACACAAAGGAGAGGAAACAAACATTAATGACACTTTTTATTGATAAGGAACACAATAAAAGATCAAATGCAAGTACAAATAACTGCTGTTATTGAGCTTATAGATGAATGAATATCCATTAATCACATGTTTATAAGATGTACAGACACTGCAGCTCCAACGTTAAAACAGCTGCAGACAGAACACCAGTGAGAGCACATGGTTTAAAAACAGCCTTTTGTGACGTTTCTATTCTGAGCCAAAAACAAAACCTTGGCCTGAGATAAAGAGATGATGCAGATGTTAGTCATGCTGCTAAGATTAGCCCAGACAGTGGAGATAGGAAAGGAGGAGCAGGAGTTTAGAGAAGGAGTTCACAGACAGGATGCTGACGTGAATAAACCTCTAATTCTTTGCACCAGTTGAACAAAACATTTTTACATTTGTATGTGTTTTTATATGTTTCTAGTTATTGTGCTTCTCATGTTTTTAATTATTGTTTTATTATTTTACTCCCATTGTGTTATTCCATATTGTATGTATTCTCTGTACAGCCCTTTGGTCAACTGAGGTTGTTTTAAATGTTCTATATTAATAAAGTGAGATTGAGATTGAGGGTCTCACCGTGAGCCTCTTGCCGGCGTCCACCTCGATCATCCCCTTGAGGAGGTTCTGACAGTCCGGAGGGATGAAGTGAGGCATGTGGAAAACTCCCAGCTTCACTTTCTCCAGGAGGTTCCTCAGGTTATCATCGTCGAAGGGCAGAGCGCCCTGCAGGAGGAGGAAGAGGAGGAGGAGGAGGAAGAGGAATCAGAATCACTAGTCCCGCAGCAGTGACATTTACAGTGGCATACAGTAGCAAACGTGGCATAGTAAGTCAAATAAGGCATGCAATAATAGAGTAAGCTAACTTCGCTAAAGCTACATTAGTAACATATTACAGTGTTGAGACATAAAAACTGTATGAAACATTTTGGGACATTTCTAAAAATATCACATGGAAGTGATGATTGAACAGTGCATTTGCAAAAAGAAAGTGTCTGTTTTGCACATTGCAGGTTTTTTGCACACGATTGTAACAGTTTGTATTACAAGGGGGAGAAGGAAGAGAGGAAATACATATTCAACAGGAGAGTGAACATATTGACAATTTGATTTAACATATTTACTCAA